TATCTTGTATTCTCACGCGACTGAGCGGTAGAGCGGGCCAAGCTGGCGGCTTGCGGGTGTCCGGGAGGGCGTGGCTACAGGGGTGGCATGAGAGCTGTTCGTGACCATGGAGTAGCCGTGTGTCTAGATTTCAGTGGACGTTGCTCAAGCCCATGCCTGGGATATAGAGGCCCAGAACCGCACACACTGTACCGGCCGTCAGCTCCCCACACGACATGGTACAAGGCTCTCGCGGGGGTAACCACTGGGCGAACTGGGTGACAACGGACGGCTCCTCCGTTACCCTGGCAGCGTCCTGTGAGTCTGTCGTCTCAGCACGAAACGAGTGTGTTCCAAACGAGACATACTTTTCTTTGGCCCTACTGAGCTTTTCAGCATGAGGTTCCCCAGGAACACGGTGGTGACACGGGCTGTCTTGGGGATGGCAGAGGGAAGCACTAGGTATGAAATACTTGGCGGGTATTGTGCCACCTGCTTTGTGTGTGATTCATGTGTTATTTCATTTAGCCTTCAGAACAGCCCTGTGGCTGTCAATACCATTATTTCTGTCTCATAATAGCTTTGCAAGGAACGGGAGGAGCCCATGACGCCGGGCCTGCTGTGGTCGGAGGGGCTGGGGAACAGGGCGCTCTGGGAACGAGACCACAGCCAGCAGGACCTGGGTGGGGGCTGGGAGGGGACGCGCGGAGCTAGTGCTGGGACAGAAAGGGCCTTGCTGAGAGCCGCCTTGAGAATGCCATCCCTGGTCAGAGAGGTCGCTCGGTGGGCCGGGCCGAGGGAGAAGGATGTTTGCACAGTGACCAGCCTTCCGGTGGTCCACCGGCCAGCCAGGACACGTTTTCACCTCGAGGGCCAGCAATGTGTCCTCGGTGGTGGAAATGTTTTAGTGCCGCATTCCCTCTGGGTCTGTTTGTATGGAGCGATGAGGTCATAATTACCGATCGTAGATACAGGAGTCCCAACGATGTTTGCACAGCCTGATGTGACAGAAATGGCACGTCCTTCCTCCGAAACAGTAGAGGACGGGCCTGCTGGGACTGTCACTGTCACTTGAGAAGTGACACTAAGGCACAGGCCTTCTGTTCGCAAGGGTTCTGTTGGCCACTTACAACACCCTTGATGTGTAACCAAGAGCTGTAACGGAGTGAAAGCGAAAGTGGAGCATTGTATAGATGTCGCGGGAAGCAGCTCGTAGTGGATACAATGTTCACATCCTTCTCGTAGTGGATACAATGTTCACATCCTTGATAAAGGATAAAACGTTGCCTTTCGCGCCTGGAGCAGGTCCTGCAGCAGCAGGCAGCGCGCTGTGGGGAGAACGGCGCCCTCTAGCAGTTCATGCAAGAACTACGCCTTGTCGCCCGAGAGGATCAGATTTAGCCAATGGAACGTCCTGGTGTCTGAGCCACCCTCCGAAGCCACTGGGTAATTTGGCCACTGGCTTCATCTTTCCTGAGCTGTTAGGAACTTGTGGCGTTTTACCTTCAACGGGCTCTCAGTTTTTAAGTGCCGGCAAGGTTGGGTTCTGACAATGTCCTCCAGGGGACCCCAGCGATGACTTTGCAACCTCATTCTCCGTGAATGTCAAATTAAAAAAGGAGGATCCTTTTGCTTTTCTTCAAGCCTCTCTGGGGCGAGTGTCGGGGATCAGAGCCCCCGTAGGGTCCAGGCAGGACACAGTGTCACCCCACCAGCTTGGGGACCTCTCAGGTGTACCCAGATGGTTGTAAAATGGCAGAACGTTAGAAACCCGAGGCCGAGCATCCAAAACCAATCGGGCCGCTTCATCCTGACAGATCGGCGGGGTTAGTTTGCACCAGAAGCAAAGGAAGCAAAGGAGGAAGACAAAGGGGAAGGATGTGAATTCATAATCCCGTTTTTATCAGCAAAAGATATTCGAAGGCAGTCCCGTCTCTCGGATCTCCGAGAGAGACACGCACGGAGCGCGTGGAGGACACATGCCTTTGAAATGGGGCCGTGAGTTTTCTGCCTCCTGCGTGGCTGAGACGATGCTATTGCAAAGCCCGTAAAAGCAATATAGAGTTTCTGACACCCACACCCGTGTGTTGCGCGGTTTGATTTATGTAAACTCATTTCAGAACCAACTGCGGAATTCCTCCAGGACAGATGAAAAATGTCGGCCCACGGTGATGAAAATGTATGTGTGCAGAAAGATACGGTTTTAAGAAGGGAGTTGTATATGATCCAGATTTGTAACTCTATTTCACAAAACACCCTTTTTAAAGAACTTCTGGAGACTTAATTTTTTTTTTTTTTTTTTTTGCATTATACGTCAATTCAGATGTTTGCCTAAAATGAGAGCGAGTCTGCTCTCCCACCAGAACCTTCTGTGTCGCGAGCGGGCTCCCGTGGGGTCCCTCCCCGGGGACGGGTGCTGCACAACATCAGTGCTGGGTTTTCCACATGTTTCCCTGGTGGGAGCAGCCCAGCCCGGAGCCCGCTGATTCATCAACCCAGCCAGCCAGGGCGGAACACGCCGGCCACCGTGCCGCCCGCCCCCCTCTGGGCTCAGCGTGGCTGCACTTGGGGGCATTTCGCCCCATCTTTCTGCAGGTTGCAGATCCTTCAGTTTAGGATCTCAGTTCTTCCTTCTTCCCTCGTCCACCAAGTCGTGTTCACACACACACACACGCACACACACACACACACACGTACAAGTCCTGTATTTCTCTATTAGGGATCTAACTTGTCTTTTTTTGTTGTTTTTTTTATCCTCACCCGAGGATATTTTTCCATTTTTTTGTACAGATAGAGTGGGAGGGAGAGAGAGGAAGGGAGAGAGAGAGAGAAACATCGACGTGAAAGGGACACATCGAGTGGCTGCCACCCGCACAACCAACCAGGGCCGGGGACAAACTGCAACCGAAGTACGTGCCCTTAGCGGGAACCGAACCCGGTCTCTCCGGACCGCAGGCCGACGCTCCAACCGCTGAGCCAAACTGGCCAGGGTCTAACTTGTCTTTTTTTATTGTTGCTGTTAATCCTCACCAGAGGATATTTTTTTCCATTGATTTTTTTAAAAGAGAGAATGGAAGGGAGGGAAGGAGGGGAGAGAGAGAGAGAGAAACATTGATGTGAGAGAGACATATCGATTGTTTGCCTCCTGGACACACCCTGACTGGGGCCGGGGATCAAACCTGCAACCCAAGTACATACCTTTGAAGGAGAATCAAACCCGGAACCCCTCAGTGCACAAGTGAACCCCCTAACCACTGAGCACTCCGGTCAGGCCTTCACTTGTCCTTTTAATCATGCTAATATGTTTACTAGGATGGTTATTGATTTTGTTAGTGTTCTTGGTACATAAATATCGAGTAGGTGTGTCCGGACCCTATCTTCCTCAAAACTCTAATTATTTTTATTAAGTGATTTTCCAGATACACTAGGAATGCGTTTATCTCATTACCGCGGAAGCATCTGTGTTTGCACCCTGCTTATTAACTGCACCTGTTATAGAATCACCCTCTAAATTAGGGACCCTCTCCTCATCCAAAGCACACAGACTGAGATAGCAGTTGCCTGCTGACTCATGTATTTAATTTCTCCTTCACTAGTAAAACCAGCCCTGTGTATTCCGCTACAAAGTAACCTTCTCATCGTGTTACAAAGTAACCTTCTCGTCCCATTACAAAGTAACCTTCTAGGAAGTTACCGAAGATCTTTTCACAACAAAAGCACTTAATAAAGATTTGACTGGCTTCTGCTGGAACTTATTTATCTTAATTCATTATTGGCATATGGTTTGGGTACACGTGAGATTGACGCCCATTCCCTCGAATGCACACACTCGCTCCCTGTCCTCCTGTGGGAAATCCGTGGTTAGTGCTGAAATCTCACACTCAGCATGATCTGAAATCTTAAATTCCATCAGGTCAGCTGTATAGGCTTCTCAGAGATGAGCCTCTGCTCCCAACAGGTCCTAGAACATGCTAATTCAAATAACTCAGAAGAAAATGAGATTTTTTTTCAGAAATGCATCTTTTATGTTCCTTTCATGAAGATACAGATAATGTATCTTTGTTTTTTAGAAGAAAGGATTCTTTAATATTATTTTCACAAAGGAATAGACTCGGTGTCGACGTGAGTGAGTTTTTAGACCTCGAGCGGTGAGCTTCGAATCGCGTTTTCAGAGAGCGTGGAAGCTGAATGAGGCCCTGGTTCTAAGGGAGGAGCTGACAGCGGCTGGTGATGCAGACATTTCAGCTTGTCCTCCGATGGGGACACGTACAGAGAACGTGGGACTGAGCAGGGACAGCAGCCGTAATGGGGAGGATGCTCCAACCTACACACCTGGAAAAACGCCTCGTGGATTGTCTTGTTTTCTCTTCCTCGTGTGTGTGTGTGTGTGTGCGCGCGCGCGCGTGTGTGTGTGTGTGTGTGTGTGTGTGTGACTGAGTCCACTCTGACCCCTGGCCGCCGTGTGAACCAGCCATGTCTTCAGAGTCCTGTCCCCGGTGGCCCACGCAGCTCCTGTGGGCACCGCGGCTTCCCTTAGGGAGCCCATCGCCCTCGAACCCGGTCCTCCTCTCCTCCTGCCATGTTCCCAGCGTTTGTCCTTCCCAGAGACCCTGCCTTTTCTGGACATGCCCGAGCGGGACGCTTCTGTCTCGTCCTTTCTGCCTCCAGCCAGGTTTCGTGCCTCACTTGCTCTGGGGCCCACGCATTTTTGTTATTTGAGCAGGAGTTTGGTTCCGGAATCCCTCCGTAGGGTCCTGGAATGTCCTCTACCTTGACCTTCCTGGGGGCGTTTGCCCAACTTCTCAGGCTGTAGACGTACAAGGGGTGTGTCCTGCCAGATAAAAATTCTACCTCAAATTTCACAAGGTCCATCAACATTCCCTTTGCTTTAGGAAAAAGGTCACCGCTCCCCTTGACGCCCATGGGGACAACAGGGACGTTACGGAGAGAAAAAGGCTAAAGCCTGGCTTAGTGGGTTTCCCTCCCCATAGTAATGAACCATTTGCTGTCTTCTCTTCCAGCCGTGGGCCCAGATTTTTCAGGAAGCCTCCTGAAGAGGGTGACTCTCGTCAAAGTAGGAGGGGACGTTGTCATTGACTGCAAGCCCAGGGCTTCTCCCAGACCCGTCTACACCTGGAAGAGAGGAAGGGACACCCTGCGGGAGAGCGAAAGGTACTATCTTGGAATATTCTTGGTATTTGATTAACCTGGGACAACGTGTCGGTCTGCTGTGAGTGGTCCTAGGAGAAGCAACGTGCTACCTGCGTTGCTGGCGGCGTGTTGCTCAGAGAACCGCAGCTCCGGGGAGGGCGCGCTCTATAGCCCTCGATGTCCGGAGCCGATGAAGGCGTCTGTGCGAGACAGCACGCGAGCCTGCCGCCCAGAGCCCAGCAGCCCGGGCTCTTCATCTGAGCCTTGTTCTGGTAGGTTTTCCCGCGCTGCCCCTTCCTACTTCCTTCTGCCTGAACAAAGAAACGCAATCCCTCTCTGCCACGACCGTCCCGCGAGTGTCTGACAGTGGCTCTTCTGCCCCTTGTTAGTCTCTCCTGTGCTGAAGCTAAATCTCGCTCATTTCAAAACATAGTCTGCAAATAACGTGTTTTGATTATAATTATTACTTGGGGGTTTGATTGTTTTAATCACGTCTTTTTGAAACAACAAGGTTTTTTTTTATTATTATTATTGATATCTAAACTCTTCACCTATGTGTTTCTTATTATACTCGAATTACATTTAAGATGCATGTTGTTGCCCAGCTGGTGTGGCTCTGTGGTTGAGCGTCAACCCTGCACCAAGAGGTTGCCGGTTCAATTCCTGATCAGGGCACATACTCAGGTTGATATATATATATATATAAGGTTGTTTTAGGTTTGGGGTCAGATAGCACCAAATGGCATGTATCCCTAAGCCATTTTCTTAGCTGTTATTCCTATAAAATACCCCCCACCCCTTTCTGAAATCTACTGAGTCTGTTGGAAGATGGTAATTATGCAAGAATCTGAATTGCCCATAAAATAACATTCACCAGCTGTATCCGTAATGATTTTAATTGGTGCTGAAGGTCAAGTACTCAAGGATGCAATGGGGAAACATGTAAAAGCATCTACCCTTTACACCTGGACACCTTTCATTTGCATATGTGAAGTAGATCATTGCACGGGCAATGTTGTCCTTACTAATAATTTTGCAAACGGGCCCGATATGGCTTTTAGACGTTGTGTTTACACACATATTAGATTCATAACACAGCCCAGCTGTGTGGCTCAGTGGCTGAGCATCAACCCATGAACCAAGGGGTCGCTGGTTCAATTCCCGGTCAGGACACAAGCCCAGGTTGTGGGCCCCATCCCCAGTGGGGGGCATGCAGGAGACGGCCAATCAATGTTCTCTTTCATCGATGTTTCTATCTCTCTCTCCCTCTACTTCCTCTCTCTTTGTAATCAATAAAGAAAAAAAAATCATAATATATATCCCTTTATGACTTCTGTTATATCGAGAAAACAGTATAGATCACTCAAGATGGGCATTGTGTTCAAATGTGGAGCCCAACCAGCCCTGGCCAGGGACTCAGTTGGTTGGAGTGCCATCCTCTACACCAAAAGGTTGTGGGTTCGATTCTCAGTCAGGCACCTACCTAGGTTGTGGGTTTGAGCCCCGGTCGGTCAGGGCATGTGCGGGAGGCAACTGATTGATGTTTCTCTTCCATCGATGTCTCTCTCTCTCTCTCTCTCTCTCTCTCTCTCTCTCCCCCCCCCCCCACTTCTTCTTTCTCTAAAAACCAATAGAACATCCTCAGGCGAGGATTACAGAAAGGCTACGAAGCCCAACGTGGAACTGGGGAGCACAGTCTCTTATCCTGCGGCTTATACCACCCAGTGTCCTTCCTATTTTACCCCAGTGTTTCCCAAAGTGGGACGTGTCAGGTTACAGTTACGTGTTCACTTTGCTGTGTACTAAAACAGAATTAACATATAACTGGTATGTACACATGTGATGCCCAGAACAAGGCCGGATTTCAAAAGCTTTCATTAAGCAATGATATAAAGGAAACGCCCTTTTCCAATCACATGGTCACACAGACACGTCAGGGAGCATGAGTGGGTGAAGTCAGAGGCCCAGCCGCACAGAGGCTGAGCTGGGCTCCTGGTACAATCACCCTGCGGTGACCCGCAGCACCGGTGGCCATTTCTCCCGCACCGTGTGCCCGCGGGGTCTGCTCTTGCTGCCCTCCCAGCCTGTCGGGGGGCAGCCCGCGGGGGCACTGCAGCTGCAGGGAGGGAGGGAGGCTGCACACCTTGGGCTCTGACAGCCGAGAGCTGGATCACCTGTTCCACGCTCTCAGCCTGTGTCATTGGTCCAAACAAGGCACATGGTGGTGCCCAAGTTCAGCCCAGCAGGGAAGCACAGTCTTACCATGAGCCTGGAAGAAGACACAGGCCACCATTCTGAGTGTCACTGCTGACTGCTCACCACCGCGGTCACCTCACCACGTTCAGGTTGATTACGCGGCCTTCAGAAAGTGGTGTATCGATATTAAGAAATCTACTCAATAAGTGGATTCATCGATTGTTTCTACCTCTAAGCTTGTCTCTCTATCCTATCTCTACCAGCTTGTCAATCTTTCTACTGATTTGATGACTAGGGTTCAGATTTTGCCTCGTCATTTCCTTGGCACTAAAGATATATTTCAACCAAGCAAAGTTCCCGTCATCACTCAGGTAATCGCGTGTTCCTTCAGCTCCGCCGGCACCACCCGGACTCCCGGCGATCGCTCTTCATCCTGCACACGGTGCCCTGTGCCCAGGGTTCTGCACCCCCCCACCCCATGTGCTGAACAGATACGTTGGTTCTGCTCACGGAAGTGAGTCCAGAAACTGGCAGGTGTCGTAGGAATTAGCATGCTGGGTTCCCATCCTCTCACTTTTAAAGAGAAACTAGAAATCTGGACTTTTATTTGAAATATCTTAATTGTCAAATGTCAGCAGCTAACTTTTTATGTTGATGTTAGCATAGTACGGACCACACCTCCACGGATCAAGTGGCCTCCGTGGGCCCTGGAGAAACACAAGCTCAACTGCACATCTCGTGGTGTCTGAAGAGGGTAAAAATAGAGGGTTTTACTATGGCTGCCCCATTGGCAGAGGAGAAGTTCTGCCGCTTTTCTGTTTCCCTCTGAGGAGGGCGTCACCTAAGTAAGTGGGTACGTGAGCAGCAGTCATAGATGGGGTTCGTGCTTGGGAAACAGAATCCCTGCCTCTTTTCGGAAGAGACTGGAATCGTTAGCCTAACCAAAAGGCAGAATTCTTGGGCGCGCGGTAGTAGTTACAGTTTCCAGTAGACTGACTTGTCAACCCGCGTTCTCTTTGAAATGTGGACTTTTAAGAATCAAAAGGTGAATCTTGAACATTTGAATAAAAAATGAATAATCTCGCCCTGGCCGGTTTGGCTCAGCGGTTAGAGCATCGGCCTGTGGTCCTGAGAGACCCGGGTTCAGTTCCCGCTAAGGGCACGTACCTCGGTTGCAGTTTGTCCCCGGCCCTGGTCGGTTGTGCGGGTGGCAGCCACTCGATGTGTCCCTTTCACATCGATGTTTCTCTCTCTCTCTCTCTGTTCCCCTCTCTCTCTCCCACTCTACCTGAACAAAAAATGGAAAAATGTCCTCGGGTGAGGATAAAAAAAAAAAAAAAGAAATGAATAATCTCTCAAATACAAAATACTGGTATAAAGAAAGTTTCGGTGAAACAAAAGGTTATGCCTCCTAGAGTCTATAGTTTGAAAGACTTTGCCAAATGCTACTTCTTAAATGATATTTAATTTCAACTTTAACTAACCAACTGCTCACAAATGAGTTTACGACAAAAGTATAAGAAACAACATAAACACAGTTAAAACATTTCTATCTTATTTAATCATATGGTGATATTGTACTTACCTTGGTGTGTATAGGTTCAGAAATACTGGTTTAGTGTTAACATGTCAACTCTTTTTTAAAAAGTATGTTTTTATTGATCTTTTAGAGGGAGAGAGCGAAACATCGATGAGAGAGAACATTGATCGGGTGCCTCCTGCACGCCCCCCACTGGGGATTGAGCCCGAAGCCCAGGCGTGTGCCCGGACCGGGAATCGAACCAGGACCTCTCAGTCCATGGGACTATCGATGCTCAATTCACTGAGCCACACCAGCTAGGCAACCTGTCAACTCTTTTAAAAATATTTTTTTATGTTTATTTTTTCAAGCCTTTAGAAATTGAAATCATCTTCACGCTGCCTCTGTGTTAAGCCACGGATCCAGTTGCGAGGGTTGCTCTTCAGTTTCCTTAGCTCTGTTGGCGTGTGGGCAGCATCTCGCCTGCGCAGAGCCTGTTCTGTTTCGCGTACACGAGCCGGCCAGCGGCATGTGCCCCAGATCAGACATAAAACAGGGATGACCGTCCCAAAGCCCAGTACCATGGGAGCAATGACATCGTTTGGATACACTGAGCCATCAAGCCTGCTCTCGGATAAGGCTGCTTGTTTACTTGTAGTTTCTGAACAGGTGTGTGAGGCAGATGAAACCGAAGGCGATGCATTAGAAACAGAAACATCAAAATGCAGGAGGAGCCAGAGCCCCCCACACAACCTGGACCCTACGTTTACAAGGAGCCGTAAAACCGTGGCTCAGCCAGAGGGGACCCTTTAGGGCGCGTGGCCGCCACCCCGGTCGGAACTGGCTTGCGCACGGGACTGTGGGCTCGCGCCTTCCAGGCCGGGGATGCGCCGTGACCTGGGTGTGACCGGGGTCGGGCGCTCTCGGGGTGGCGTCAGGACGCTGCGTCCCTCTTGGTCTCTGTCCAGGTTTCCTGCCAGCTGTCTCCGTCCCGGCCGCTGTCCGCTTCCGGGGCACAATGGCTGTCAGGGGCCCCACACCGGCCCTCATTCCCGATCCCTTCAGACACTCACAGAACAGAAGCCCGCAGAACCAGGAAGCCTGCCTAGGTCAGTGTCCTGCCCGGAGCAGACACTCACGGGGCGGGTGGTGCCCCGATGGGGAGACTGGACTCCTGTGCTCATCCTAAGAGGCTCACGGGGACGCCCACCCCGACCATGGACCGAGAATGGGACAGCGTCCCAAATTCAGGGTCCTGCTACCCAAAGGGGAGTCGGTGGACGCTGGGCCAACAGCAATGTCAAGT